CCCTAACCCTAACCCTAACCCTAACCCTAACCCTAACCCTAACCCTAACCCTAACCCTAACCCTAACTTAAATCGCGCTTCTGTCGGCGTGCTGTTGTCGCCGCGTTGATGACATCGTAGTTTTAGCGCCGCAGTTTTGTCAGCACACTTTTGTCATGCGCGCCTTTGTCGGGTCACGAGCACTGCCATGTCTAACTTTGTCCTACTATTTATAACATAAAAACTTTAATCTAAATTTAGTATATTGGGTAGCATTTATTTTGACTCTACTGTTTGAAATATCATTATCATTTCCATAAATCAGACTAAGATGGCATAACTCTTTCTTCCCCATAAAAATCTATAATGTATTTCCAGTGTTCCTTCAGAGCCGTAGTGCTTTCTTCTGCCTGCCTGCAGTTTGGCACCAAAATCTCACCAGGCTCAAAGTGGACTCAGCCTTCCATCCTTCCAAGGTTGGTAAAATGAGGACCCAAATTGTTGGGGGCAATTTGCTGACCCTGTAAGCCACTTAGAGAGGGCTGGAAAGCACCGTGAAGTGGTATATAAGTCTAAGTGCTATTTCAATTTCACCTCAAATTACTTCATTTTTAACCTCATTTACTTTGCTGGATGCTTCCTATTTGATCGCCCCCCTGCCCCTTCAACTTCAAAAACAATATTTTATTTCTATCAAAATCGGTCTGAATTTTCCTGTCTCTTTTAACCTAAACAGTTCCTTGCTCTTTGACTATTTTCTTTCCACATTATATTGCCTTTATTGATTTTACAAAATATTTTATCTCATTCACATTTTTTGTAGCAATGTTGTATATGCAATTTACGGATTCACACCCTCAACTAAGCTTGATTTTTCATTCTTTGCACTAGTGTAACTCCACAAACCTTTTTTGCACTCTGTAATTATTTTCCTGCTGTTCGAAGAAACTTCCACAACCTCTTTTTATGTCTGTTTTCTCTTTCTCCTGTCTATCTACCTACCGACACTTTTCATACAAGACCTGCGCCTGTTATTACTGAAGTCATTCATGTTGCATCTTTCACACTTCATTTCCATGCTCATTTTTTTTCCTTAAGGTTCACTTTGGTGACTATTAAAAAGTGGTCTGTCCCATCTTCTAAATTCTCACCAATCACGTAGGTACTCTTCACTAATTCTCTGAAGTTTCCATCAGAAAAAATAATAATTTTAAATGTACATTCATTGCGGTTTTGTGAATAGATTTACATGTAGCCACATATTTGAAGCAGTGCTACTGGCAGACGTCATTAAACAGTTACCATTCTCATTCAGCCTTTGGATTCTTGGAAGGCTCAATCACTTTTTAAAATTACTAATTACTGAATAAATGAAAGTAGAGGAGGATTGAATCTGGCAAGCATGTTCTCACAAGACAGAGTGCATTAAATAAATATAAATTTTATTAAAAACACCCACATTTCAGCATTATCAGGAATGATATAATAAAACAGCTTTTCAAATAACCTGCATTCATTACAATACTTACAATATTTATAACCATTCTCAGATTTTTAATGGACAAAATAAAATTTAAGTGAGAGTAAACAAACAAATACCCAAACAGCAGAACATAAACTTAGAAATGCACACATAAAAAAGTCAATAATCTTAGTGTCAAACTGTTGGGAATTTCTCTATAAAAGATAGCCACTATGTTTAATAGTGAACTTTAATGCTGCTGCACATTAATCAAGTTGAAGAAAACAATCATTCAAGTAGAGTTGACACCACTCAGAAACATTTCAAGTATGGCTATAATCAACCTGATATAATCAATCCTATACAAGCTACGTTGTCTTTCTGTCTCACTCTTATGGAAGTTTTCATTAGTATCACAATTTTCATTCACAGGATACATTTCTCCTCCTCACCCTGACATCTCCTCCTCAATGACGTTGTCTTCTGTTTGTAAGCAATTTGGCAAGGGAAGACAGAAAGGTGCCCTTGTAAATATGGAAAGGGCATTCAAAGGTTGCACTATACTTGGAACTGACCACTGCATCCAAAAATGATACTAAATAAACAATGTCCTTCCACTGATGATGAATGTAAAATTATGTGGAATCCAGCAGTGACAATAGTATGTAAATAGTTTTGCACAAGGTAGGAAAAATTGCAAAGCTGCCTATCATACAGAGGTGTGTCTTTGCTTACTTGCTAACTGGGACTGGCCACTGTCTCTAAGTGTTGCAGTCACTGAGATCCATGTTGCCATGCCAAGTTAGAACCAAGGGAATCGAGCCGAGATGGCGCAGTGGTTAGGGGTGCAATACTGCAGGCCACTTCAGCTGACTGTTATCTGCAGTTCAACGGTTCTAATCTCACCCGCTCAAGGTTGACTCAGCCTTCCATCCTTCCGAGGTGGGTGAAATGAGGACCCAGACTGTGGGGTGATATGCTGACTCTGTAAACTGCTTAGAGAGGGCTGAAAGCCCTATGAAGCGGTATATAAGTCTAACTGCTATTGCTATTGCTATTAAGAGACATATCTTGTGATTGTGACTTGGCAACTTTACTTCCACATTCTCTGCAAATGCAATGGTGGAAGTCAGTTGTGAAGCTTGCAAATGACAATCATGACACTGTGGGATGCCTCAACAGTCATAAATGCATGCTGGTTTTGAAGTATGAGAACAGCGATTGCACAGATGCTTCAATGGCTGTAAATGGGAGGATGTTTTCCAACCATTGAAGTTTTGAATGATAGCTAAACAAAACAGTTGGTAAGTAAGCACTACCTGCATTGTTTGGCTTTTTATTTTAATCAACATTGCTTTACATCAGGTAGACCCATGTAAAGAATAACTAAAGTTCAATTAACTTGCTAGACAAGTCTTCCAATCCAACAATGCTTATACATTTATACAACAGTGAAGAGAGAATTCTGATTTATTCAAAGGAAAGAGGTTTCCTCGTGGACATTGTATCAAAATGTAATAGCCCTTGCCCATACCAAGGCATCTACATGTACCTCAGAGCTTCAGTTTGGGGTGACTATGTAAGAGATAACTAAGCTCATATATTTAAAGTGAGAGCAGAGGACCTTTGTAGTTGTGGCATTGCATATGCTTGATCATGACATACTCAACGAAGAATTATAATCAGATAATAAAACTCAATTAAAGAAAAAACAAAGGGAAGGCATTGGTCTTGCAAAGGTTACTCTTGAGGCAACTTGATAATTCCACTGATTTCATAGGGAAGTTGATTGTGTGAAACAAGGGTGAGGAACGTCTCCAGATTGTGCTGATCTATAACTGTTTTAGGTGGAAGCTCAGCAATATCCAAAGGGTTCCCTTAGGCTAGATTGCAAATAAGTCTGGATGACAAGATAATTTACTGGATGGAAACAAGGACAGGCAGAAAACCTCTTGCTGCCATGTAGTGATTATTCTGATTTCTGCAGCCCAGATATGGTATGTCCATGTACCCTTGATAGTGAGTGAAAAAAATACAAGTAACTTGTTTCAGAATCAAGTTTTACACACATTCATATGTGTGTGTGTGTGTGTGTGTGTGTGTGTGTGTATTGTACTGCCATATTTTAGAAATGCCTATGCCTAATGTAAGATCAACTGGGCTAGACGAAAAGTTAACAAGTCCTGTATGCTTTTCTCACAATAGCCAACCGGATGCAAAGAATTGCATACAGAATACAAATACTATACTTCTTTCCCAAATGTTGTATCTCAGGAACTAACATTCAGATATATGCTGCCCCCAACCTTAAAGGTAGTCTACAGTTGGCATGGCTGGTAGTCTTTCTTGTAGTCTTTTCTCCATGAATTTCTCTGTTCTTTAAGCTCTGTCTTCAAAGCCCATGAAATAAAACTGCAATCACCGTTGAAAACCTATTTATAGAATTTGGAAAAGGCACAACCTTCTTGCAAATGGTTAGCAGCCAAATACCTACTTTGTCCTCTTGTCAGTTCAGTGCAACCTATGATTTATTTTATATGTGACATGCAAAGGGGGAGGATGTAAAATAAGAAACCTCAAAACAGAGTTTACAATATTAAAAATGCACTTCCATTGTTATAAAAAAGAAGAAATGGATTTACTCCGCAAAATTTGCCATTAATACATTTACAAGTAAAAGTTAGAAGCAGAATTAAAAAACAGTTGAGATTCTCAAAAATAAAGTAGAATTTTAAAAAAGGGTTCAACAATATTTATCAATCTGTACAATAAAATTTTACATACACATTCACAGATGATACATTGGCTTACTAAGGAAATTGTGAGAGGATATATCCCTGAATTTTTAGAACAAAACTATGTGTTAAAATTCAAGTTACACTTGCTATCAAGTAGTGAGAATTTCTTTTTCCCAAATATTAGCGAAGCAGAAAATCAGGGGAACATGATATCTTATATATCACCATTTAAAATCCTACTGCCAAGTAAAATTGAGGTATATGACAAATAGGAGCATAATTCAAACATAATTTGAACATGGTTTTAGCACACTTTTTTTAGAGAACAGGCCAAGTAGCACCATGATGTGAGTTGAGTTCCAAATCCATATATAGATATATAGATATATATATTGATATATAATATATATTTATATATTTGTACATTATTAAAATACTAAAACATTGCTTTAAAATTGTTTACAAGTTACTATACATCTGTTTTGCTTACACTTTTATACAAACTATCAAATTAAAAACCATCACAGCAAGCCAGCTGCCTCTACTGTATTCTCCCCAAGCCCCTAACTTCCTACAGTACAACCCTGTATTTCTTTGTGTTGACCCTTCTCAACATTTCCTAGAAAATATGGCCACATTACACTGAGCAGTGCCATATACCATAACATAAATAATCCATGATTAAATAAAGCAGTAACCATCATCTGTAGAATGCTATGGATCTTTAAAAAGTAGCTCAAAATCATGACAAAATGGTCAAGTTTAACACGTTTTTGTATCTGTGACATATATATATATATATATTAAAAACTTAAAATGTGTACTATTTCAGAAAGGAGTTTTTCATTAAAATAGTTAAAATTAATATTTACAATATACCTGTGTAAGACGAGCACCAAAACACAAAGCTTGTATTTTTTTTTAAATCCCGTTACCTCTGGTTGAATAGAGTAAATAAAGGATTTATTTTTTCTCTATTCTTTATTTAGCGAGTGTTTGAGAAATGGTTTTCAGTTTGTGTCTATAATTGGCTTAAAAACCTTCTCCTGCTGTTTGCAATTACAAATACCTTCTCCCCATTCCATCTTATATAAATTTGCCCCAATCAAATTTGCCCCAATATTGTTATTTTAATCAAAAGATTGTAATAACAATAATTGTAATTTGTTGAACGCTTGTAGAAGTTGAACATTTATGAGAAAAGAAATCTGCTGTTATAACAATCTTGTTTGCAGCCCTTGGAGCCTAACCTAAAGGATTTACTGAACATTTGGAAACCTTGAATTTATTGAACCTGAATATCTTAATTTTACAGAAAGCCACTTTGCTGGAAACGGGCTCCATCTTTAAGGTACTATCTTAATAATTCTTAAGTTCTTCATTAAGTCTTGAATTAATAAGTTTTCACCAATCTTGGACTATGATTCTAACTGCAGATTACTCTCTACAATCTAACAATAAGTTATTAAAAGTACATGCTACCCGACTCCCAGTGATTCCAGGTAATATTGAATTTAATATGCATATACTGCATACATTTATTCAAATAAGTTTCTTTTAATGTTACAGTAAATGTCTGGAAAGTTTTAGCACCCAGATAATATTATTCAGTGGCAACACTGCAACAACATCTAAAGAGTTTTTCAAGCACCATTCACAAAACATTTTTCTATTGTTGGCTGCTCTTAATCAGATCTTTGCCAAGTGAAATGAATTCTGGTGAGATCCAACAAAGCTTATTTAGCATGGAGAAGTAGCAGAATGAGAATTCAGGGCTGTACCATGTAAGCCTTATTTGCATATTTTGCAGTTTTATCTTGATTTGATAATCAAAATAAAACTGTTATCTTCAATCGCTTTATTCAAATAAAAGAAGACCAGTTTCTTTTCTTATTTGCAATTCTGTGGGGCATTAAGCCACCGGGAAAATATTCCTCAAAATGTTAGCATAGATTGAGAAAGGATCAGAGATGGGCATCACATAATAGAGCAACTGGTTTGCCCAGCACCGAAACTGTGAGAAATCAGAAACAGGCAAAATAAAGCCTGATCATACCCATACTGTGTCATCTAAATCCTTTTTTGTTAAAGTTAATTAGGAAGTTTATATTGCATTTTGCGTGCACTGAATGCCAAAAAGGTTTGCCATCACTGCTATAGCACCTACCGAACATGGGGATGCTGAACACAGGACCTTAATATTTCAACTGTTCCTGTAGATAAACCAGAATGGATGCATGCCCCAGTACTAACCAATGGTTAAGCTTTGTTTGTTTGAGAGATGCCATCAATTCCACGGTTCAGCCATTGAAGTGTGAGGATTAATTCTTCTGGGGCTGAATAGGGAGAGGTCTTCTTAGTTTAAAAAGGTGCCTTTTTCCTTTCATTATTCTAGCTGCTACTGGCACATTCTGCCTGCAGTGCTCATGCGATAGCTTTGTTGAATCTTGCCCTTGTTTCATCCAGGTTTCCATGCTTTAAAACAAGTGTGTCCAACCCACAGCTATTGGTTGGACACCCATGCTTTAAACAATGAGTTGTAGCTGATTATTTTTTTTTAAAAAAAATCAGATTAACTGGATGTCATCACAAATGTAAACGTTTTGTTTATGGATTAAGGAGAGCAGGATTGTTTTTTTTTAAATCCTATCTAGTGCTAATAAAAGACATTAAAACTTGTCTAAATGCTGCAGTAGACACCATTTTTATATCTAGCACCACGTTTTAGAATAGCCAAAACAAATTCAGTGCTTTTGTTGTAAGGGTAGCTATCCTGATTAACATTAATTTATGTTAAAATCATAGCCAAAACAAAACAAAGCGAAACAAAAAACAAACAAACAAAATGTTCCATGCTAAAAACTACATTTCCAGTAAGCATTTCAGTATACCATCAGTTTAGCACCTAGCAGAATCTTCAATTTTCTGCAGAAGAGACACTACAGAGTTTTCACCATTAAAAACAAAAACACACTCTCTTGCTTTATCTGCTCCTGAGCAAAATGGTTATAGATGTACATTTTTAAAAAAAAGTATGGTCATTCTTTTTTTTTACCAGTAGTCATAGCAGTATTTCAGTCCCAGTTGGTGGTTATGTCGTCTTCCTTTTGCATAGGATACTTTGGTTTCAGTTTCGAATTGTGACTTGTGACAGCTCTCCAAATAGATGCAGTGGTAAAATTACTTGTTTTGCTGGGATGGAGGAGATCTCCTCAATGACAAGTGAAAAAGAAAAATACTGTGTCTTGCTCGGACTCTATCTAATCTAAAGGGAATAATTACTAACTTTTTTTTTTAAAGGATGAGGTAATAAACAAAGGTGACTTTTATATATATCTGTTATAAGGCCCTGTAACCCGTGTAAAGGCATATGGAGATGTGGTTACTGTGGAATTTGTGGTAAGAGACATCGTCCTTTGTGCAAGGGACCTGATAAATCTAAAATAGGTTGGTTCCAGGTTCTCGTTTAATTCAGCAGGCTCCCGTTTTACTTTTTTGCCATGTACTTTCTGAGGCACATAATCCGGACCATACTTCTCACAGTCCTCTTCTTTTTCTCTTGCCTTCTCAGCCATTTTTGCCTCCCACAAAGCCAGCCCATGCTTTGGCTCATTCATACTTTTGTGTTGGTAGAAGACAAGTGATATCCTTGTAGGGTGATTCCTGTTGGGGTTTTTCACGGGGGTGGTAGCATGGAGTTCACGCTTAGCACACTCTATAAGGATTGATCCATGGGATGGGGCCACTGCAACGCCACCTATTTCTGGATCCAGAAAACTCTGCTCATTGTCTGACCAGACATCATCAGGGTCCTCTGCATTGAGCCCCTCTGTTTTATTTGCACCTACTTCGGAAGCAGTTCTATTAGGGTTGAAATCTGGAAAGAGGTTTGACAGCCCATTGGCTGCCTGGCTATTCTTGTTCTGGAGATGGAGTGAATGAGAAGAGCCATTGAACAGGCTGTGATAGTCATGGGCAAGGTGTGCTGGGGGATACAGATGGTCACCATTTTTATTCATGAAGTCCACACCTGGATTATTCAGATTAGATTTCAGCCTGGAGGTGATGTCCATAAAAGGGTTATCAGTCTCATGCTGGGCGTAAGATGGGAAAGAACTTGCATGGTGAACATTTGGTCTAAAGGTGCATTTGTTGAAAGCATCTACTGGCACATTTTGGTTTCCATAATTCAAGTACCTGTGCCCAAAATTCTGATTATTTGCAATCCTATGCTGATACAATGTATGTATTGGAGGTAGACTTAGTTTAGACAGAGAATCTTGGTTCTGATAGCTAAACAAGTCCATATGCTGAGTCTGAGCAGAATAGGAATTGTAATAAGAACAATTGTCTATTGATAAGCTTCCATTGCATGGGTAATGAGGATACTGGTTATTTTGACCTAAATGAATAGAATAGGGATTGATGAGGCTGGAAGAATTCAAATAAGGTCCTGTAGGTTGTGATGAAGTTTGGTAGATATTCATTGGATTGGATCCTCCATAAGGATTGGAAGGATGCGTAGAGTTAGAATATGGATTAGCTGGATTAGCAAGACTCATATAGAGATTGGTAGGGTCAGAAGCAGAGTATAAATTGCCATGATTTGACTGAGGTTTAGAAGGAAGAGCCTGGCATGGATGTTGATAAAGTTGCTGTTGTGGCACAGCTGCTCCTGAAAGATGCAAAAGATCTGTGCACAAGAAAGAGAAGGGAAGAGCTTTAAGGTGGAAAGAAAATATTTATCATTTGTATAGAATTAATTCAATGATGGAAAGATGTTGCCCAATCTAGTTTTCATGGAAGAGGTTTGTACAATTGAATTATGCCACAAATAAAGAGATATGGGAAATTACTGCAGATAAAACATGAATGTTACGGGCATCTTTCCCCTCTGAAAATAAAAATAGCCTTCTTGATGAATCAGGCCAAGGCTCAAATGTTGGCACTGTTTTGTTTCCCAGATATCTTAGGAGGGCTTGGAAGCAGGTGTGAAAAATAACACAGGTACTCGTCTGAAACATGTATTCAAAGCCCTTCTAGAGTTGTGCAATATTTGAATTCTGATGTAAGCAAACGGGCTTCAAATCTGGCATTTATATCCTCCTTGTACCAGTTGGCACAAGGGACGCAGTGGCTCAGTGGCTAAGACGCTGAGCTTGTCGATCAGAAAGGTCAGCAGTTTGAATCCCTAGCGCCGTGTAACGGAGTGAGCTCCCATTACTTGTCCCAGCTTCCGCCAACCTAGTAGTTTGAAAGCATGTAAAAATGCAAGTAAAAATATAGGAACCACCTTTGGTGGGAAGGTAACAGCATTCCGTGAGCCTTTAGTCATGGCCGCCACATGACCACGAAGACGTCTTTGGACAGCGCTGGCTCCTCAGCTTTGAAACAGAGATGAGCACCGCCCCCTAGAATCTGGAATGACTAACACATACATGCGAGGGGAACCTTTACCTTTACCTGTTGGTAATTTCTTAAAGAAGTCCTCTCTTTCCTTGGATTTATAGTCAAACAGGTTCAGAGAAAGGATCGAAGGAAGTATAATGAAGCAGTAATAAGATGCAATCAAACTTTTACACTTGTTACCTCAACTCAACCAGAAGCCTGCACAACTACTTGATGTTCTAAGAGCCCAGGTAAAAAATTGACTCCTTTAAGCTTCTGAAGGTACCAGAGACCAGATCTGAAGCACCTTTGTACATTTTGTTCTAAGTAGTGAACATTTCTATTTTTATCTTTAAAAGGCATCCAAAGATCAGTCATCACTATGCCTAATGAATTCTGAATGGTTAATTGTACTAAAAAGCATTTCTTTTGTTTATTGTAAACCCCATGCCAATCAGCTATATTAGATGAGCTCTGCCCCAGGAGCTTTGTGAAAGTTAACAAAACAAAATAAAATAACACCTCCTTTTCTACTTTCTTGGTGTCATATATAATTTACACACATCGACATGTCCCCTTTAAATAACCTATTCTCCCAATAAAAGTGTTTCAAATATTCTAGTCTTTTCTCATAAAAGATTCTTTGAGTCTCTTGATGGTTTTGATTGCTCCCTTCTGCATTCCCCCCCCCCAAAACATTATATTTTTTTCCAGTTATGAGTGAGAATTTATAAGGGTACTATGATCCTGGTTGTCAGTTTTATCTTAATTCCCAGCATATATTTCCCCCGCCCCAAACGGCTACATATTGTGTCAACATCTTCATTCAGCTATTGATATCAGTGATATCAAAATGTTTTTTCTTGGTTAGTTGGGACCCCATCAGTATATATGTTAAGTAAGGTTTTTGTCAAAATATGTATCATTTGGCACCTCTTTAAATTGCATTTGTCATGTGTTTGTCCACTCAAAAGATGTCCTTCTTAAGCTCTTTATAGACACTTTGTTGGAAGCCCTAATTCCTCAGCATCTCATAATCTATTGAATATAGAAGGGATAGGATGCAGTAAGAAAGTTAAGAATTTGCTTTCTGTCCCTTTTCTTTGTCTTTTACGTATCCTATATTTAAAATGATTGCTGATCTAAGGAGTTCTTTCTCTCCTCTCAGCCATGTTTTCCAACAATGGAGGAAATATGGATTCTCCTTTTGGTAGGATGTAGCTAGCTAGGTGATAGACCTGTCCTGTAAATAGATCTTTCTGTTTTAGATATAAATCCTCTTTTGGTAATTATTGTTGAGATCAAATTCCTACTGTAAGGAAGACACATCCAACTCACTTTTTGGTTTTTTTAAAAACCTTGAGTAGTTTAATTAGAACAGAACAGATCAGAACAGAATAACAGAGTTGGAAGGGATCTTGGAGGTCTTCTAGTCCAACCCCCTGCCTAGGCAGGAAATCCTATAGCACTTCAGACAAATGGCTATCCAACATCTTCTTAAAGACTTCCAGTTTTGGGCATTCACAACTTCTGGAAGCAAGCTGTTCCACATTAATTGTTTTAACTATCAGGAAATTTCGCCTCAGTTCTAAGATATTTCTCTCCTTGATTAATTTCCACCCATTGCTTCTTGTTCTACCCTCGGGTGCCTTGGAGAATAGTTTGACTCCCTCTTCTTTGTGGCAACCCCTGAGATATTGGAACACTGCTATCATGTCTCCCCTAGTCCTTCTTTTCATTAATACCCAGTTCCTGTAACTGTTCTTCATATGTTTTAGTCTCCAGTCCCCTAATCATCTTTGTTGCTCTTCTCTGCACACTTTTTAGAGTCTCCACATCTTTTTTACATCGTGCCAACCAAAACTGAATGCAGAATTACAAATGCGGCCTTACCAAGGCATTATAAAGTGCATTAACACTTCACGTGATCTTGATTCTATCCCTCTGTTTATGTAGCCTAGAACTGTGTTGGCTTTTTTGGCAGCTGCTGCACACTGCTGGCTCATATTTAAATGGTTGTCCACTAGGATTCCAAGTTCCCTCTCACAGTTACTACTATTGAGCGAGATACCACATATACTGTACCTGTACATTTTGTTTTTGTTGTATAAATGTAGATTACTTTTTTTACCATTGAATTTCATTTTGTTAGATAGCACCCAATGTTCAAGTTTGTCAAGAGCCTTCTGTATCTTAAGCAAACTTGGCCACCTCACTGCTTATTTAAAAGAATCATTGAAAAATTAAAAAGTACCAATTCTAACTGGTATTTTTACTTGCATAGAAATTTACCAACATTATTAAACATAGAACATTGTTAAACACAATTGAGAAAAATAAGGAAACATGCTGGTTCATTAAGAGAAGAACTGACTCCATGGACTCAACTAGATGAGTGCATTGGAACCAAAAATGCCACCAATGCTTTCATTTGCATATTTTAAAATTGAAATAGCAACCACCCCATAGTTCAATTTGATCAGAACAGCAATTATTTAACCTTCTTCTCATATAATGATCTTGGACTAAAATAAACATTCCTCCTTCTCCAGTGTAAATGTACTGTTACTTGCTCTAAAAGAAAATCCCACTGATTTTAATCCAAATGACTTTATATCTAAAATGATTTGTCCTAAATAAGCCTCTCATTTTGCCATAGATTCTGAAATTTTCACATCTAACCACAAAGTGAAAGCGTTGTGACTCAACTCAAGTCAATGATTCTGTAAAGGTAAAGGTCCCCCTCGCACATACATGCTAGTCGTTCCCGACTCTAGGGGGTGGTGCTCATCTCCGTTTCAAAGCTGAAGAGCCACAGCTGTCCAAAGACATCTCTGTGGTCATATAGCTGGCATGACTATTTTTTCTACTTGCATTTTTACATGCTTTCAAACTGCTAGGTTGGCAGAAGCTGGGACAAGTAACGGGAGCTCACTCCGTTATGCAATGCTAGGGATTCGAACCACTGACCTTTCTGATCAACAAGCTCAGCGTCTTAGCCACTGAGCCACCGCGTCCCACAATGAATCTGCTTAATCACATATTGGGGAATAAGTGACATGCTAAGACATATGCCATTTTCATACAATTTTATTTCCATGTGATCCTGTCTCATATTTCTCATGTTCAAAGTACAAATAGCCCATATGGTACATGTGACAGAGCTGACATCATAGCTAATGCCTACTAAAAACATACCTGCTAATTGCTTGCTATGAGCTGATGCTTCTGCATTGACCTGCTTTTGACGTGCTGTGGCTGGTTTCTCTCTCTCGTGTTTGTTAGGCCCATTCTCCATGGAGGCCAGCTTTTCTGTTGCTGCTTTCTTGGCTTCCAATTTTTTTTGCCGACAGGTTTTCACAGGTTCTGCCAGCATCCTTACTTTTCGTCGGAAAGAACTAAGAACCTGGATGCTACCATTTCGCTTTTTTTCTTCCTGACCTTCTGTGCTTCCAAACTCATCTACGTTGGATATTTTATACAAGGGTAGCACATGCAATTGCTCATCTTCTGGTGTTTGGCCAATTTCACGATTGTCTTCTCTGGTAAGTGTGCAGACCTGTTAAAATAATATGATGGAAGACACATTTGGACCAACCAATGACACGAGGTTAAACTTGGCCTACAAACGATTATGACCATGACCTTAAAGTCACACATGGCTAATTTTTCCTGAGAGGCAGCTTGTAAAACTAAATTAAACATGGATTATTTTTAACCACAAATATTCTATTTTTCAATAGCTTCCCCAGGGGTCAATAACCCATTAAAAACAACAATAACAAATAAAAATATAACAATCTAAAATAATCTAGACCATGGAAGAATGTTTTGTGGGATTTGTTCTCTAGAAGATTCCATCATTTTTAATTACTTTTCTCCTTTAAAAAACAAACAAACAACCAAAACATTTAGAGGTCAGCGAGCGCCACCTAGGGGCACTTTGGACTCCATTTTGTCAACATCTTTATTCCTGTATTCACTACTATTTGTACATTATGTATGTTTGTATAAAATGAAGACTTTGGCATCTTTTTTCATATTAGGAACACTTAATATTCCTGAGATATAAATGTTCCAGTGATTAAATCCATGAACTGATGACACAGATTTGGGAAAATATTGGTGAGTAAATCAACAAGGAATGGCTGAAAAGAAGAGAAATGGAGGATGCTGATATGATCAAGCCAAATCCCAGATCTAGATCGCGTTAATTTGCTGTGAGGTGATTTGACATGGGATGTGCCCTTATGTCAAGGATCTTGACAAACTTGAACATTGGGCGCTATCTAACAAAGTGAAATTCAATGGTGAAAAAAGTAAGGTTCTACATTTAGTAATAATCATTCAGGGAAGTATCAGAAATTGCCAATTATTTCCCCGATCTT